TGAATTTTAATAATATATTTTTTTTTAATAAATCCGAAATATTTCAGTATCATGTACAAGGTATATCAGTATGAATGTACAAGGCGAGTCAACAATAGAGTAAAGTTTATTATGTCATTTATATCGAAACTATGAAATATGACATACCAATTAAACGTTGATGTCAATCTCAATTTCTTCAGATATTTTTGTAAAGGCATCATGCGCATTATTTCTATTTTTTTATTTTTGTCGCTACGGTTACATAAATATGGACATGTATTTCTTCACAAATATGAAGACAATATTGTCTTTTCCTTCCATTTTTAAGACTATTGTGTGTGGATCTATTTTTATATCTACTGGCGATAGCTAGATGTACAGGGTGTCCCATTTTTGTGTGTTTTATGGGGTTTCTGATTTATGAGTAGAGATATAAAGATGCCGTTTTTACATCATTGTTCTACTTGTTATGAAACTAAATATGCTACACACAGATTTATCCCAGTCTTCTAGTATGTCACATTAAAATCGGATTTCAATTTATTTCATTCTATGGTCGCTTGATTTCGTCCCTTGGTACTCGTCACTTGCATCGCTCGTTCATAATCGAAGGTTCATGTCGGTTATTTCAATAATCGAGTACTCGAGCGAAATATCGCTCGAGTGATCCCATCACTAATTTAAAAAAAAACATATAAGTTTTAGTCATATTTAAAAAAGACAGATTCCAACGAAGAACTAGTTACGTCACTGCATTCTACGTGAAAAACTGTACGGGACACCGTTTTCACCTTTTCGATAAGTTATGATACAAAGGGGATCGAAAAATGCAATAATTTCAGATTCGCCCTGTAAGTAAGAGAGCTAGCACATGTCTATATGTAGCATCTTTAGTTTCATAAAAAGTAACATCGTAATGTGAAAACCGCATTTTCTTATCTCTACTCATAAACGAGAAACCCTGCAAAACACACGAAAATGGGACACCCTGTACAGACGTACTGCCAAATCAAGAAATCAACTACGAATGAAATTCAAGATCGATTTATATATTTTATACATTTTAATATTTTTTTGTGTTCGTAATAATTCCTTTGCTACTTCGTCCAAAAACCGACAGTACGGGGAAGGAGCGTTTTGAGGAAGTAAACGGACGAACGAACGAAGAAACACACAGTCGCATAAAATCGACAATTTCCCATAGTAAATATAGGATTTTTGGACGAAGGGACGCGATGAAGGAACGAAGTGAAGTAGCGAAGTGTGAGTATGGGGCTTTACAGGATGTTAGATTAATACCATTATTTTTTTCTTGTATTTGCTGTAGATAGAACTGAACATCAGTGTTATCAACTTCAAAAAATGTTAATAATAAATTAGATAAAATAAATGTCCAGGTGAATATGTCGACAGTTTTTTATCATTAAAATATGTCGCACTTATAGTAACTTTTACCCTCAAAATTTCATTCGAATCACTAAAAGATCGAGCAAAAATAAATAAAAATTTAAAAGAAAGATCAATCTCTCCACGAGAGACGGCACATGTTTTTTGAAACACCCTTTATAACCTTACCCTAAAGAATTCTGATAAGGTCCACGGCAAAAATTCATCGATGTTTATCAGATCTTGAGAGAACCTATTCAATACGTTTCCGATAAAGTTCGTATCGAAGAACGACATCACAGCATTGATCACCGTAGAGGACATTGCTTTGTGAAGCCTTATCGAGGCCCTCCTGCAGTAATCGAAGAGCAAATAAGCCCTGCCCAATAAGAGAAGTGAGGAGGATCCCAGCATTACAGAGTAGAGTATTATGTAGTAATTTTTATTATATACTGTCTGCTCGAATTCTTCGGTGTCAGTTTGATTTGTGGCAAATAAGTCTTGTTCCTTTTGTTGAGAATCGATCCTAAAAAGGAATAAGAGTTTAAGATTATGATTAGTGTTAGAAAAAATGTTAATAGTACAGTCAATCTGGCATAAAAAAAGGTCTAGACTCTCATCAAATTACCCCCGCTCTCATACTTTGCCAGTCGTAAATGGTCCATTGCAGTGGAAAGAGAATTAAATTCTCTACATTTTCATTTGTAAGTAACAAACTTCTAAAACCTAAGTTAGAGGGCGTCAAAGTCACCATAAACGCAGTTTTTTTGTATTTTTCCGAGAAATCATTTTTACTGTCGCAAAGTTTTTAAAAGTATAAAAATACAGAAGTAGAAGAAAAGTATAGAGCATAAAAAACTATCAAAATTGATGTGTAACTTTTTTTACGTTTTACCGTTTACGAGATATATTGCATTCATTCCCACAATGTGTATGCAACTTTTATGAATTTTTGAATTACTGATGCAAGATGATGAAGAAGACGAAATATTATTGTTACTTGTTGCAAAGAAAAGAAGAAAACCCGTTACCTCTGTTTAAAAACAGAACTAGGGAAGGAAGTTATTCCTTACTCATAAAAAATAATCTTTCCATATATGAGGGATGTAGTAACAAAACGTACAATCTCCACTTTTTATAAAAAATCTGGTAAAATATGATTCGAATACTACATTTCGAGCTGCATTAGAATAAGATGCTATTTAGCATCAAAATGGGCAATATCCAATTGTATTTTTCGTTCAAATGTTGGCTTTAGTTTCAAAACGTGCAATCACCACTGACAAGTGAATATTAAAGCGTGCAATGTCCAAACAACTAATAGGAGAAACTACAACAAGACCACGTGATTCGCTAAGTTATATTAATCTAATAATATTACCGAATAATAATTACCAAAGGATTGAAGCACGGAATCTAGGTACATGGAGAAGTTACCTATAAGAGTGACTTAGATGCTGATAAACCGATTTTCAGAAGAGGCAAACGTTTAGGTGATATTGTCCCAAATATTATTGAAAAACAAAAACGTGATAAAGGAAAAAAATCGCGCACCATCACTGCTTTTGCTGAAAGGGTCATTATGGTGAAAACTGAAAAAAGAAGATAAAGATTTGGAATTTTATAAGTTCGTTCTAGATGAGCCAGAAAAACAGTCTGAGGAGAATAAACTGAGAAGAAGAAATTTGCGAGTATTTTGATGAGGGACCCAGCGTGAGAGTTTAAGATTTACTTAATTAGATTTAAAGTTTAGATAAGAAAAAAAATAGTTTTGAATCCTAAACAATAAGATTTTTTTGCATTTGAATAAACTACATTATTTTCGTCGATATTATTTTTGCTGTTAAGTCGGTCAATTACTACAGTTTACTTTAAAAATGTACAATCTCCACAGTTTAGTTTCAAAATGTACAATCTCCAAATTAAATTTTTAAATTTCGAAGTTAATCCGCAATATTTTTCTTGTAGCATGATATACTAAGTACTTATCTTAAACTGCAGAGCCATTGAAAATTTTGTTTGCATCTATATTTTGATTTATAAGAGAGTTTTTCGTGATTTTCTCAATATTGACACAGAAGGAGATTGTAGGTTTTGTTACTACACCCCCATATTATCCTTTTAATCAAATTATTTTTAAATTTTCCACACTAGTATCATAGAGAGAGTAGGATATTTACATACTAATTTAATTAATTTGTCTACTTCCTCCCTGGTAAAATCCATTTTTTTGTCAAAAATCTGAGTGTGCATATGAATGACGACACGACAGTACTGGACAAATACCGGTAGCGTCGGTGGCTTAGACGACATGTTGGATAAAAACTGTGGCGCGACACCTGTCGTCGGACTCCGAAGTTACTCCATTTGATTCTAAAACATCGGTGGAGTCGCAGGTGTCGCTGTCGTCTGTCGCGGTCGCTTGTCACTGTCGCCGTCTTCAGAATCATACCTTTACGTTTCGTCCTACGTGGGCGACAAGCGGACAGCTTCGTAATAAAGAATAGCTTCGTAAGGAAAAACGTTGTTTGATAAATACGCTTCGCTAGCACCGCCCGAATCGCGCGCTTTTGTCTCCCACGTAGTACGAAGCGTTAGTTTTGGAATGCGAACCAGAGGGAGGAACACGACAATAGATCAAGCGGCAGCTGCGTCCTAGAATGCTTGCGCAGCAGCCCGCGATATTGGCAACGTTATATCTCGTAAACAGAGAAAGTTAAAAAAGTTACATATGTATATCAATTTGGTAGGTTTCTTATGGTCTTTAATTTTAAAAACTTTTCGACGGTAAAAAGAATGGTTTCACCCGGAAAAATGCAAAAAACTACGTTTGAGTGACTTTGGCGCCCTCTAACATTGTCCCCGTAGGTTTTAGGGGTTTGTTACTTAGAAATGAAAATGTAGAGAATTTAATTATCTTCATTTTTTGTTCCATAAAATTTTTTGTGGAACCTACGGTTCAGCCAGAAAATCAAATCCAAAATTTCTTTGAGTTTCTCAAAAACGGTGGGATGGGGGATACGAATTTTTGAATTTAAGCCAGTGAACCACTTACGACTGGCAAAGTATGATAGCAGGGTTAATTTGATGGGAGTTAAAGTGCCAGATTGACTGTACTATAAACTATAAGTAAAAACAAAACTATTTCCACACTTACCACATAGCAATAAGCTTTTCTGAAAACGTCTCCGTTCCTTGAGATGCTATAAATACAATAGCAATAAATCCAAACAGGCACAGACCTCCACCAAATCTGAAATATTTCTTATAGACCGAAAAGCTGACATCGCCCTTCTTCTTAACTTCGTGGTAGATTTTCTTGTTGCTAGCTTCTGCTTCAAGCAATTGTACGTTTTCACCATTACTTTCCACTTCCTCCTTTTTCTCAACTTTTACTTCCTTCGTTTCCTCAATTACTTCTTTTTCCATTTCATCATCCTTACCAATTATTTCTGTCAATTTGTCTAGAGGTAATTCGGTAGGTTTTTCGATGGATTTGATTTTTCCACTATCCATAACAATAACGTTATCAGCTTCCTGAATGTGATGTACAGTTTGCGTAACTAATACTACAATTTTTTCTTTTTAGGAACTTCTTGATGCAATCGTTAAAATATGATCTTGCACGTGAGTGTCTAGAGCCGTTAAAGAATCGTCTAAAAAAGATATATCTCGCTGTCTTTATAAATAGCTCTTGCGAGGTTGATTCTGGCTTGTTGTCCTTTGCTGAGATTGATACCATTGTCTGCCACAATCGTTTGATCACCCTTTTCGAACAGATTAAAATCGTAGGTTAGAGCACAGACTCTCACAACTTCCCTGATACCTCTGTTCGTTGTATTTTTGCCCAAAAAACAATATTTTGTTTTACCGATGATGGAAACAGCCATGGATCTTGAGAAGCATACGATATTCTACCCACGCTGCTAACATATCCACTTTCCAAAGGATAATCCTGAAGAAAAGCTTTTCAACAGAGAGCTTTTTTCCAGATCCAACTGCACCGGTGACTATATTTAATCCCGAATTAATTGTAACGCTCACATCTTGAGGGCTATCCTTTTGTTAATGGTAACAGTGGCATGTTTAAGATTCAACTTAGGGTTTGATGTGGGAGCTGTTGTAAACGTTACTCTTCTGTAGCTCCTCTGCATTTAAAACTCTGTTAATTCTGTTAATAGCGGCAAATAGTTCTGCTGCCCTTCCCATGCCCATAGGAACGACTACTCCCAGAATATACCTTAGCTGGGAGAATAAACTTATGACGTAATAGATAAGTTGGGCGTCTGGAGTGTATCCTAACCAGATATACGCCATGATGAGAAAGTAGAATCCGACTCTAGAAGCTAAAATGCCAAAGCACACTATAACTATTTTTAAGTAGAAAGTTTTTTGCATAGAGTTAACTTCCTTCCTAAAATAAAAGATTTTAGTTAATAAAATTAATCGTTCGTTTTATATTGATATTTTTTTATTATACAGGGTGTCCCAAAAATAAGTGCAAGTATTTTAAGAAGTGGTAAATCTCGATAAAAGAATCATATATTCTCTCCTTATCGGTTTTTCAAATAAAAATTTTTCAAAGTCCAAAATAACGGAGTTATTTTACTTTGAAAATTTTCAAAAAAAAATATTTTTTCTAAAATTTTGAGAACCACTGCATCTTTTCTAGATTTTCTTTCTTGTAAATTTAATCTAATGCCTATGTTGTCATATTATCGAGAAATTATGTTTTTTAACCAAAAACCAAAAAAAAATTCCAAAACATTTTTCAAAAAATTTCGAATTTTGAAATTTTTTTTTCGCGAAAAAAACTACCAGTTAAAATACTTGCACTTATTTCTGGGACACCCTGTATTTTAAGTTTTTTATTGTATAGAGACTTACTTTCTTCTGTCATTAAATTCTTTATGAAAGAATTTCTCCCAAGTGTACAGTTTGATTATTCTAATTGAGGATAGAATTTCTTGAGTAATTTGTAATCGTTCGTCAGTCCTCTTTCCAATTTCTAATCTTAGATTTGTTATGCATTTGCCAATATACACTAAAAAATTAAAAAAGGAATTTTACCAGATTTGAATTGTATGTAGTGCAAATATTTTGACCCAATATAAATATATTTGTTTCTAAGAAATAAATTTAGTTATTCGAGAATTATTAAATATTTTATTTTGTGGATGTATTTTTATCATCTCAAATGTATGATGTATTCAAAATATCTCAGGTTCTTCAACTGTACAGGGTGGGTCAAACTGGACGCTTTTAACGGGGAAAACCCTTTTCTATAGGAGGTAGACGAAAACTAATATCGGAAAACCGCACATCGATATCTGTTACCGTTTCGGAGTTACGGGGTGTTTTTTAAAAATGTGCATTTTTAAAAAATCGCTATAACTTTTTTGCTATGGAAAATTTTGTATTTCTATGAAAACATTTCCGAAGCACCTTTATACGTAGAATTTAATGGTTTAAGTATATTTTTTTTTAAATTAATCAAAAAATTTGATTTTTTATATGGAACACCCTGTATATTTTTAATTAGTTGAAAAGAATTTAAAATTACATTTCCAAAAATATAGCATACTTCATATTTTGCTCAATTCATCTTCGAGATATAGAGTTTTTAAAAAGTCGCCCACTTTGAATAAGTAGGCTTTGAACGACGCTGGCTGTAATGCAAAAAAATTCTAGCTGTGAGCAGCATTTAAAACGAAAATAATATTTACAATGAGAGATGCAGAATTGTATAACAATTTAAACTATATTTAACAACATCAACATCTTTAAACTATATCTAATAACAATAAAAATTAATAGCCAACCAAGACATGAGATTTTGCTACAGGTGTTCGACATGTCGACCGTTTTTTGTTATGGACAAACGGGACCGTTTTTGAACATTTCTCGCGGAATTCCTTTATTCTTCCGCAAAGATAAAAAATCAACTAAGGATAACAGGCACTAAGTCCGGCGGCCTCGACGGCCAACGGCTGGAATCTTGGTTAGCTATTCAATTATTCTCGAAATTGGCTGCAAAAATTTGCTGATAACTTCAGTGTTCTGAGGCGGTGCCTCGTTTGGCTGGAAAAATATGTGTTCGAGTTCCATTAGGGGCAGATCATCAATAAGGGGCTCAAAGCCTACTAACTAGATATTCTGTGCTACTAGTTAAAAGTGGCAAACTTATAAAAATTCTGTATTTCGAAGGGG